CTGCCGAAACGTCAGCTACTGTTGTATTGTATTGTGTTTTCCTATGGAAGTAAATGTACGCTGTTTAAAAACCTCGCGATTGCTGAACAAGAAAACGGCGCATTCATATTCCAATGCCGAGGTTAATAGAACGTCGATCCTGGAACTACAAAGCATACACATTGTGATTTCGACTGCGGCTTCAGCTTAACTGGATTCAATGCCAATTTGTGCTCCCCACATCACTCATTCACGAGTGATTGGATGTGAGAAAAGCAAAGCAAGGGCTGCGATGGTGCAGTGGATAGAGCGTGAGCCCCCGGCAAGGGTAATCACGGGTTCGAAGCTCGACTGAGGGTCCATGTTTTGCTCATATCTCAGCATCACTGTGGTTGTATTTCATGTGAAACCCTTCGTGAAAGAAATGATATGGAGTTAATGGAAAGTAAATCTGGGATTTTAACTGATGCTTGCTTTTCTTCGCGAAGAGATAAATAAAAAGCTCTAAAAAGATCTCGGTGTTGATCAATCTCTGAGAGATGCGCCATGTGTTCGACTTCATGAAGTATTGTTTTGAGGTGAGTGAATGCATATCTGGCCTTTACAATAACTCGCGGTGGCCTACCGATGCATCTAGCCAGTGCTGCTCTCCTTCCAGACAAGTCTGGTACCAATTTGCTGACCCCGGAGGGATGGAAGGCTCGTGGGTTATGGGCGCGAAGATCGATTCCACGTGTGTGTCGCAGGGCGCCTCCGACCACTGCGCCACACGCGCCCTTGACAGAAATAAAATGTAGAGAAATAATTAATAATTAACAAACGCGAGTGTCATCGTAGTGCCAAAATGCAGAATGATTGCTTCATTCTGCAACGTCTGTTCTCCGTAAATTCTATAATTATCTATTGAGTATAAAACGTGAAAAACAAACCCATTGGAGCCAGCCTGTCGTTGTGCAGCTACCACCGAGACGTTTGTCACCAAACTAGGTGACTCAATACGCGATGTTGGTTCCGATGTCACGCAGTCTTGCCATCGATTCCTGAAAGCCTTCGTTGACTCAATGCCAGATAGACGATAACCCGAAAATGACGTCAAAACTTCTACTTTCTAAGGATTTGAAAAAACCGGTCTCCCATTTCAGATTCAACCTTAAAAAGTAGAAATAAAACAATAACGAGTCGAGTAACTCTTACAAAACATTCACATTTCCAAAATCAAATTGATTTCACCAAGGTTTTGTTAAAGCTTGTGACGTAATCAACATACTAATTGACTACTAGATCTTAATAAACAGGCACAGACGGGGTACTTTTCTTGAGGCCAAGTGTCGCTTAGATGTGTGAGGTACCTAACTCGCATTTCGCTGTCTCTAACTGCTGACAAACCGCTAAATCCACATTAATTTGAGTGTTGTCGTAGACAAAAGACGATTCAGCACCTCTCGGTAATCCCTCTCGCAGCAGACAATTCGTACGAGCAGTTGAGTTGACGGCGAGTACCCTCACGGCAGCTAGAACGCACTGCGTATTCTGTGCTGTAGAACATTTAGCTCTCTCCACCCATCACATGATTCTTCAGGGACTCCTTATTCTACTGGCGTGGCCTGCTTTTGTTGAAGATAGTGGCGGGTACGACATCGCCAATTAACAGAACACGCCGCCGTCTGTAAAATAGTGAAAAAGCGGTGAAGTTGCGCATGTTCTCGTCTTTCAACGTGCGGCTAATGTTGCTGAAGAAATGCACATGTTAAGCAGAAATTCGCATAATCCCAATGGTTGCTCAGATAGATGTTTTCTTCTTCCTTTTACAAGCCTGCCTTGTCTTCTACACTTAAGGAGAATCCTAGAATATTGTAGAATATAGTAAAAATAGGATAGGAAATACGGGATAAATACGGTAGAACAGTAGACAAATAAGGGTAAATAATGGAAAACAAGTCAACAAGCTGCAAATTATATAAATTATGAACAAATTGTAGTTAATATAAAGCACTAGAAAGCTCTCGGTGTCGATCAATCTCTGAGGAATGTGCCATGCATTCGATTTCAATAAGTATCGTTGAAGGTGATTGAATGCATATCTGGCTTTTACAATGACCCGCGCTGGTCTGGCCACGTATCGAGCCAGTGCTGCTATCCTCCCAGACAAGTCAGGTACCAATTTGCCGACTCCGGAGGATTATAAGGTTTGGTGAGCCTAAAGAGCGGGGATCGATCCCATGTGCATCCTAGAGCACCCCGACCACTGCGCTACACGCGCGGTTAACACTTGATAATTTACAACAAAAAACAAAAAATACACAAATTTTACTATGCCGTCAATGTGCACATACGATAGAAAAATAGGTAAATAGCAGTAAATAAGGCGAATCAAATAAATTATAAACTACAGTGTAATAAAGGAGTAAATTACTTACAATATATGCTTAAACTATACTTAATTTATAACAGTTAAATTTTAAAAAATACAAAACCAAACCTCACTACGCCCTCAGTGAACACGTGTGGCTTAGGTGCTATTACAGGCCTCGAAACTGTAGAAACACGTGGACATTTGACAGTCGTACCGTCATTCACTATAGATTGGTGATTAGCGAAGGTGCTCACTTGAGCAGGTGTTTTTTCCTCACGAGGTGAATACATATCAGAATTTGGTGGTTGGAGAGGGACCTAAGAGATATCATTTCTTGACATGCAAAGAGAATGACCGATCATTTAGCAAGCTGTCCAAGATGAAAAAGAAGATCTAGGCCAAATACACAATGTTTCCTCAACAGGAAACATGTAGCTACAAGCTCTTTCGTGGCTCAGATATAACATGGCTTGAAAGCAACAACATCTGTCTACTTCTCACAGAAGTACTGAGACTTTGGATTATCACGCTATTATCCGACTTAGTGTTTGTTCACAAAAATAATTTTCCAATTTTGTGCTGCCCCTTTCTAAAGCAGCATATGAGATTCTAATCGACTAGTTCATGTTTTCGTTTATAAGGATAGACCACCAATTCATACAACACTGTGTCACGAACCTGTGGTTTCTCATGTAGCCTCTGATCCAGTCGAATCTTGTCATCTCTTATTCTGGCTTCTTCCCGTAGACGAGCGTTCGCTATCTCATTCGCCAGTCGAGCATCATGATAAAGCGATTCTTCATTCAGAAGCTTTAAAGAGCAGAATTCGTTTGTGAAGCACAGTATGACATGATATGAGGGATAGATTTTTTTCTTTACTTATTCACCTGTTTTACATGGTAATATCCCGGCGAGTGTAGATGACGTCCGCTAGGTGGCTCTAAATGTGCATTAAATTTACTTCGCTTTAATGTTATTCTAAAAAATTTTCAGAAGGAATAGCCATAACAAAGTCTAAAATGTTGAGAAAGACAAAGGTGGAAAATTAGCAAGATCTGAGACAGCAACTGAGTGAAAAGTCTTCAGTTTTCCTAATCGACAGTGCAGAACACATATAGACTAAAAAAGATAAATCAGGGGTTAGTGATAAAGAAAAAGCTCAAAAATAAATTTGGGAGAAAATAACAGGCAAAACTATGGAATTAACACCAAGAGTCCGACGTGAGTAGATTGCTGCTCATATGTGGATGCATACTGGTATTGATTCAAATTCTCAAAGCGCATGCGGAGAAATTTGGCGCCATACCACAAGCAAGACAAATTAGAAAGACTAAAAAAGTGAAAATATAAGACTAATCTAACTTGAACATATTATTGCAAAGGGTTAGAGCAGTAGTATAAGTTTGCACACACACCATTCCCGTTAACGTGTTGATGCAATGTCAGCTCGTTCGTCGGTAATAATGGTGATGCTTGATCCTCACGTGATGCACTGCTCGACGCCATCGCTGTCACTGCACTGTTACACGCGGTTAAAGAACCATGCCTCTCCATTGAGTTAGTGGTGATGATGGGTGGTGTTAGACCATAGGTTGGTTTTTCTGGCTCAATTTCAGAAGACTGTGACGGTTCGGAGTGATAATCGCAGCGTCTTGGCAGTGTCACCCAACCAAGCTGATGGTGACCACGGGACGGCTCACTTGAGTGCTGAGAGTCCATGGAGGAGCAACCACCATCGCTTCCGATCGGTTTAGTGTTCTTTTCCCATTCGTAGATTGATCTAGAAGTGCAAACAAGTAACATGCAGCAACGTCCGAAATACATGGGCATTGTAGAAATAGTATTTTTCAGAAATTAGGACGACTTTACCTTCACCTACGGTCACCAGCATCGTCTCACTATTGTTTTTTAACTAAAAACGTGATCCTTCTATAAATGAAGGATTTCTGAGAACAGAAATCCCAATGAGAAACATTTCTCAATACACTCACGTTTTAAAAAAAACGCAAGGAAGACAAAAAAAAGTCAGATATGAAAATGTCACTGCCTCGTACAGAACCGACTAATTTGTACTCAGATGCTCATTTTCCGGGGAATATTGTTTACAAGTATTATCGACGTACCCATTCGGAGTTCGATAGTATTCAAAAACGCGAAGCATTCGATGAAAGACCGCGTAATAAACTGGAATTTAACAACATGTCTAACCAAACGTGTGATGCCAATGCTTACACAAGTATTGGAAGAATTTCAGGTTCACTTACATAACGTAACCCCCACGTAGAGTTTTGACCCCCTTGTAACTGTTGTAAGGTTGTAGCCGATTTTTCAGTAAAAGGCCACACAACGTATTTCATTTTTAACCACTTGAATAAGGCATTTGCCTCACTATGGTTTGGCATAAAAAAACTGTGTTGAACAGTGTTTTCTTGATTGTTCACTGATAAAGCAGTGCCGCTAACATTATGGATTTATTGTAATCTACACGATTATCGCTGTTCAACGTCCTTGAGTCAACATGATCTTTCAACAAAAGGGAAAACGTAAAATACAGCACGTGTCGAATGACAAAGTAATAATCACAAGAGCTACTGTCACTTCTCACCTCCATCGAGAGTTCTGAATAAATCGAAATCAACTCGTTTGTTTTTCACTCGCAGTCTTTCTCTCACCTTGCCATTTGAGAAGGAACAGTTGTACGATTCGGACCCTCTTCCCTTCTAGTTGAATATTCCGAATAGTCTCCTTTTAAAGATTCTAAGTCAGAGTCATAATTGGCACTCTTGGAGGACAACGGGAACAACAGCACCTAAAAACAATGCTGTTTAAAAACCACTGAAAGCCACTACAATGCTAGTATAAAAAAAAGAATAAAAGAAAACGAATAACAAATTATCGCTACTATCAAAAACATTTAGAGGAAAACGTAACTTTGTTTCGCGAACGAAAAACAAAAGAGAAGAAGTAAGAACAATTGGAGAGGAAAAATGCGCATCTTTTCACAAGAAAAGGAAGACAAAGCCAATTGAATTAACTAGTCACTTTCAAAAACCGGTAGAATAAATTGGGTTAGTTTACACTCGCCATATTTCCAGTTCTAATGGGAATCAATTTTGCACCTCGCATTTCCAGGTGCTACTCTGACAGAACCCCCTTAACTAAGCAGCTCGATGTCTTCATCTACATACTCAGCAGTAAACCTATGCCGGAATGTGCAGCTGGCTTAAATGAAATCTGGTCGAACGACGGAAAACGAGACTCCCACATCACAAATTCGCGTTTTATGCCTATTTCTGCATTCTGAGAGAAAAAAGACTAACTAGAAAAATATCAACGAAGTACGAGCTGTGTATGGATGGTACGATTTTTCATAAAAAAAAAAACCTGGATGAGCCAAATAATTACATCTTCAAGCGGCAAATTTGGTGGGAATTCGGGCATCCACAGCCGGCGTTGCTGCAAATGGATGACGAGGTCACGAAGTGCGTCAAACCATGCTTCCTCATTTGTTGCGTCCACCGTTGCTGTAAATGAACGCTTTAAGTTTCCCAATTATAATTTTTTCTCACTTTTAAATATTTCTAAAGCCAAGTTATGTAAACAACATATATATTAGATTCTGATGGCCTAAACGAATAAAAAGGGCAAAATACTAAAAATTATATGCAAATAAGAACAGGTGAAAATAAAAGTTCCGGTCCAAATGAACGAAACCTCGTCCACGGCGATTATCTGAACTTTTAACGCACGTACATATGATGAGGCTAACACCGTTATTGATGGAGGATTCTATTTAGCTGATAGAAGAATCGTACTTTCACATAAAGAAGTCCGTAAAATCAAATTAAACAAAGACTTAACTACCACAGTCTTAACACATCGACAATTGTTCATTTCGGCCTCTGTCAAAACAGTGTTATAATTCAAAACGAAATTTGAAGACATCAAAAATTCGGATTCTTCAGTAAATCTGATATAGCTTGAACTGAGCGTGCTACACCGTTCTGGATCAACAGTTTGCAGGAATCGCTGTCATCACAAAATATTCCCAGTAATACCAATACAACAGTAAATATCCAACGACGGCCATAACAGACAGTATTCGTGCTGAAGACATGGAAAAGTGTAGTACTACTACCTCGGAATTCGATAGAACACCACGGTCCATCAGCATCATTGGGTAATGTCGGGTGGAAGACAAACGAGATATCTTGAAGCCTTCCAAACTACCTAAGCCTACCCAAACCAAACCAAACTGAAATCTTAAATGTTTACGACATCTTAGGTCCAATTAACGACGACGCTCATATATCGACTATTTATTCTTTAAAAGATAGGTCGTCAGGTGGAAAATTCGAAGTGATGAACGCTAAGGCCCTAGATATTAACTAATTGAGAGCAGCAACATTAGGAGATTACATGAGATCGAGAATATGGTGAAGAAGATAGATAGCATCCTGCTCAATGAGCAAATATTCGAGACCCCTCTTGGCTCTGGAAACTCGGACTCTAGGCATGAACAATGAACATGAACGCAGCCTAAATTAACAAAGGATTCCCGAATCTCCACATATGTCGAAAAACAAGGAAACTGTCAAATACATCAAAACATTGATAACCAAGTGTTGTTTCTTAACGAAAGCAGCTGTGTATGAGTTTTTGACAAATGGTTTTGAAAGGTCTCTACAAATGTACAACAAGAAGATCACCGACAGAAAGGTCTGAGTTTCATGGTCTTAAACAAAAATCGTGAAGCATAACATGCTCATTGAACCTAGGAAGTTACTAGTATTTAGCAGAATCAGCCGAAAATCAACTGAGAGATGGTATTAATGAGATGATTAAAAGAGTTCCAGAAAGCTGCAAACCATTGATAGATGTGAAAACATCACCAACAACGAATTTTAGCATTGGCAGGTGAAAAGTGCAACACAACATTTCAGCACGACAAAAAATAGAATTATAAACTGCTCTTTCACTGAGAATTTTTACTAAGCCAGCTAACTCTTTGAAATTGGCTAAGGCCGCTTCGATATACATTTTAGTTATTTAACCCACTGTGGTAAACAGCACACATTTTAAACCCGAGAAAATTTTTTCGCTAGTTGTTGGGAGCAGCCCATTTTTTGCACATCAACAGAACCATGAACATTAAAAGAAACAAAAATGAAGCCAACCCGACAGCAAATGTGAATGGTGTTTCTTGATCTGAGCTGCCTGTTCAGCCAGTTTCTTCGACGATACATGCGGAGCATTGAGCTACAAAATGAATGTTCAGTTATCAAAGAATTTAGTTATCCCATGTACGCAGCGGATTAACACTCTATGGATGAAGGGCAGAATCTCAGCGTATTCCCGTTAGTGCTGCTCACCCCAACAGATTACTCCAGAAAACCCAAAAAAGGTTGCCGGCATTTAGTTGTACTTTTGCACCTACACATCCACATCAAACAATTTCTCTAATTACGGAACAGAAATAAACCATGGATGTCCTCTTGTAAATAGTCCAATCCCGAAAGGTAGAGAGCAAAATGCTTCACGATGATTTCCGTTAAATTAGTAAAATCTCATTCCTAGTTCAGAAATCAAACGAAGCCGACTTTTACTTTTTATTTACTCCCTAGTACAATTGTCACGGCAGGGTATCAAGCGAAATCAACCACAACGATGCTGAGATATTGGTAAAACTTGGACCCCGGGCCAGATCGAATCACGATTTCCTTGTCCGGGAGTCCAGGGGTTCGCGAGTTACACACTGCGCCACGGAAGCCTTTCCTCTGCCTTTCTCTCAGCTAGTTTTCTATCTACCAGTGCCATCAGCAATTACTCGTCAACAAGGTTGATCTGGGGAACCTACATCAGCACTGAACCCAGTTAAGCTGAGGCTGCAGTCGAAATCACAATATTTTACTTTCTTATTTACTCCCTATTACAACTTTCGCTTCGCAAAATTTGGACCCCAGGCCAGATCGAACCACGATTTACCTTTCCGGGGGCTCGCGCATTGCACACTGCGTCGGCGAGGCCTTTCTCTTCGTGTCTCTCAGTTAGTTTTCTGAGTTTCTCTCAGCTTGAAAAAGCTGATTTTATCCCTATTTCAAATTCTACCACTCAAATTATCACATAAGGTCAGACAACCAAAGCACCAGCAAATAACCTTTTTGCGAATCTCCCGAATCCGTGATCGACCATCCACATCAATCAGTACAACAATGGGCGCATATTGTGCCAGTTGCAACCGTTCTACCTAAAAATCGTCTCTAAGTGAAATGTCTTAACAGGTGAGAGGCACCACTACGATAAAAAAAAACCAGGCTTTGAAAACGAACCGACTCCAAACTAATATCGAGCACGCAGTGTTTCCCAGCGGCTATCACACTATCCAAAGCGGCCAGTCGAATCACTCCACCACTGCCTCCACCTCCACCACCACAGTAGTCACTTGGAGAAGGTTCGGCAAATTTGCTGGGAAACTGAGATAGCAGGTACGACCGCGCGACATCGGCCAATGGTCCGAAGAGAATAACAGGTCTAGATTGGTAAATAGTGAACTTCCTTTTGAAAAAAAAAATATGACGATTAACTTAAATATGGCAGAAACAGCGGCAACTGTAGTGTAGTGGTTAGACCTGTCCTGGCATAGACACGTGGTCGTTGGTTCGATCTCGCGCCTCAGGTTCACCATGTTTTCCATCCCTCAGGAGCCGACAAATTGGTACTAGACTTGTCTGGGAAGATAGCAGCATTGACTTGGTGCATTCGTAGAGTACCGTAAGTCATTGTATAGGCTAGATATGCAACCAGTCATCACTGACGACGTTTAATGAAGTCGAATACATGGTACATCATTTAGGAACTGATCAATGGCGAACGCTTTTACGGTAGAAAGTCATAATATCCTGCATTATATCGGAGTTCAGAACTACGTTTAAAGCTATCAATAATACCACATTGCAAATATGTCTCATAGTTTCATTGAAGGCTGAAGTTCTCATCATTTGCAGCTCTAATGAAAGTAAAATTCGTTTGAAGTCAAAAGTTATAAAGTCGCAAGGTAAGGTAATCTACCTACTTGTTATGACCAATTTTTGAGAATGAAAACGAGTGAATATTATCACTGATGGACTCACCTATGAAAACTCGGTGTGTTCAGTGCGACACGTTCATATGCTGGTGGAGGAATACTGGTTGACAACTCCGCTGGATCCGATAGCACATTTTTTGGAAGCGATTTTGTTCGACGGGACTCCAATTTACGCCGAAGCAACGTACCCCCTCGACCTTTCGTCTCAGTCAAACGACGTTGTTCACGAGCTATGGACTCCGCTGTCGACTAAAATTCCTTCGGCACATTAAAATCTTCGACAAATCATAAGAAAAAAATTCAAGAATAAACAGATACCCGATACTGTAGAATTCTATTATGTTGAAAGACGCCAATTTATCACACTAGAACATCCATTATCACGTAGAAAAAAGTATAAAATTCACATTTCGGTTAAAAAGGGTGTGTTTCAAAACATGCACCCTGTGTTTTTGAATGCGTTCATTTGAAGGAAGGAAAATTTTCTAATATGGGCTCCAGTAAACAACATGAAATTCGTACCTGATTTGGTATCACGCCTTTGAGTGGTTCATTTTTGTTGGCGTTAGCAGAGTAAATTCTGGCGGCCTGCCATAAACCAACGGTACCCCCAAAGAGCGTATCCGTAACGTGGAATATGTCACCGTCGCTAACGGACAGTTCGACATTACTAGACTTTTTCTCTTTCGTGAAGTGAGACCTGAAATTATTAGGTTTCACATACAAGCACCTTCAGCGACATGAGTTGTTGAATCTGGAATTTGGATGTGATCCCAAATGCTCTACTGCTTCTCAGTTCGAAAGACGCGTCATAACACGAAACAAGATGAAAAAGTTAGTTTTGTTCATAAAAGAGAACCATATTCTCCACAGAATAAAAGAAAATGTATGTTGTAGCTAAAAATATTCAAATTCTTATGGTTTCCCTTTCAATGAACGATGTTCGATACAAACTAGGCTATAACAATTTAAGTTTAGAAACACCCATCATTCCACACTAAATGAATTGTATTCAATGGATGAGTTATAAGTTGGAAATTTAGTAGGGATACTATTGCAATAACGACAACTCTCTAAAGTAATCACATTTGTTAACTGTGAATAAAAATATAAAGTTGTATTGTTGGTCAAAAAGCCTATAAATGAATGGTCTACTGAGAAAAAAACTGCTTTCAAACACTCCTGAATCACCTTATATAAAAGTTATCCCCAAGTTGGCTATTGCGAACGTGTTCAAAGTCTTGTCTTGCGTGCTCCAAGCGCAAAGAAACTTGATCGTTCAGCGCCAGCAACAGTTGCACGGCCGACTCACGAGTAACTCCACGCATTGGTCGGCCATTCACCTGAAATATCGTCAACAATTAAGCACGTAAGCTAAGATTTTCATGAACCTCAGGAATAGAAAAACAACAGAAGAGTCCACTATCTTCCCTTACAAACAGCATAACACCGCAAACAGATCACATTTCCAACACTTGACTTGAATGTCATCACATTTCGGGTAGAATAGAGTTCTCTATTCCAAAATATCTTGTAAAAATACGCCCATCCTCAGGGTTACAAAACAACGTTTTAAAAAGTTGGACACCATGAATCAAAACAAGAGTTCACACAACAGACTTTCTCATTGATTCAGTACTGCTAAAAAACTACTTGTGCTCAAATAAGCACACAAAGAAACGCTTCGAGATAAATAAATATAACTATCTGAATGAAACAACACCTCGACGATACGATCCCCGCAACAAACACCGTGTAGAGCGGCTGGTGAATCAGCTGCAACTGCAGAGACGAAAATGCCGACTTCGTTACCGCCGATGACACGAATACCAACGCTACCACCAACCTGTAAGTAATCGATTTTTGAACGTTTTCAGTAGACAATCCAGAACTCTAAATTTTGAAATGTCCCCATATCATGAAATGGCGAGACAGCAAATCAGTAGGTAAAATGGTGAGATTGAGTTTCACCGAATGCCTTTCTTGAGTATCTGTTTTCCTGTTTTCTGTCAGTTCCATTACAATGAGTGAAATTCACTACGCGTTGAGACACGTCGATTTAAATATAGAAACGGCGACTATTTTCACATCATATGACTCCTATAGAGGTCACGTTGTCGCGAATATGTTAGTTCTTTACTGCCATGCAGTGGTCGGCTGGTACTTTTATGGTAAATCTGAGTGTAAAACTTCGAGGTACAACGAGGTTTGATCCCCATCAACGTCTCCCAAGGTGCGAAGAAGTTCTACATGCCCATCCAGATAAAAACCAGATAAGAATAAACCACGGCTATGAATTACTGTATCTTGACTGGTTAACGATACTGAAAAACTCTGCCACGGTTTTCGAAGCTTCAGAGGTGAAAATTTCCTCCAGTCAGCATATTATTAGACAAAAGTAAATCGAACTGTACACATATGGTTCTTCGTTAATCATCAAGACGTGGTATCCAACTAAACAGGTAATTATTCCAGCAATACTTCAATTCTACTAACTTTCAACGTATTGCATCTTCTACGAAGAACTATGGAAAAGGGCATTCTCAGAAAGTAGCAATAAAATACAGAAGAGAAGGTCAGAAAAGGATTCACCTTTCGGAATGTCACTGTTCGGACACCGCTCTGATCCGGTTTCGGCTTGTTTCTACTGTAGTACTCATACTCTCCCGTACCCAACGGAAACGGCACTGTGTGGATAGGTGCCGCTCCAGCCTGCACGTTCACAGAAGACATAGCACCCAGACTCGACATAGCTGGACTCGACACACGACGCTCGTCTAGCAGGCTACCGTCACGCCATCGAGGTGAATTGACATATTCATGCGAAGACCTGAACATAAATCGCCATATACTCATTTAGTGAGACAAGTCATCGAAATTTGTAAAACTTTGTATAAAACATTCATTAGGTCGTTCAAAAAATTTAAACCTGCATTTGGGTTTAGGAAACAGATGTTTCAAAGCACACCAACTTTTGAGACACTGACTGATGTGGCAGCATCGGACTCGGACTATGTCGTGGCGTGGCCGACACCGAACCGACGCGTTCATATACTGTATTCTGACTGGACCACCTACTCGTCCCACGACGAACATCACGTTGAATCACTAAGCAAAGCTTGTCTCGTGATCTGAGAATACACCAGGATTGAAGGAATCATGTACCATAAATTTGAGATGAGATTACAAGGATCTAACCTTTCTAACCACTTGCTCACTTCTTCAAGTGTTGCCCCCTCTACACTTTGACCATTTATTCGTAGTACTGAGTCGCCTTCTCGTAGCCCAGGGTCCTAAGGCACAAAACTTAATTACTGCATTGGGAACGGAAATCACTGCAATTTGAAGACCTCGCGGTGACTGGAAATCGAATAAGCATAAAATAAACTTAAAAAAACAGTAACGTCACCTTCTCAGCCAACTTTGGATTACGAATTTCTTTGATGTAAAACTTGCAGCCTAATACGATACCAAAATCTATAATAAACAAAATTAAGGAAAGTTATACCGTTAAAGTGGGACGACTAACCAGAGAAAACAAGAATGACCAACAATTTAGTAAAAAAAAATTGAAGCCAAGTCAGCCAATTTTTATAAGAGTAAGGAAAGGTGGGTTTGCGAAAAAGAAAAAAAGAATGAGAAACAAACCATCTTTCTTTCTTGACTTAGACAACGTAAACTTTAACGTGCGTTGCTCAAATTCCATTATTGGCATGGCAACACGTCGTTTTACAATCTGCAATTTTGACAACAGTAAAAGACAGAACCTTGGCTAGACAACTGATTTGAAAGTGTTAACTTCTTATTTGCTGCCTACTACAAATTTTCATGGTAGAGTATTATGCGAAATACAACCACAATGGTGCTGAGATATGTGCTAAACTCCGGATCGCTGGTGTCTGTGGTGCGGAGCGAACGTGCTATTACTCTTTCCGGGAGCTAACCCGTTCACCACCACACCATATCTCAGCATGATTGTAGCTGTATTTCGCATAATACCCTACCATGAAAAATTGTAGTAGGCAGTAAAAAGTTAACACTGTGATTTCAACTACAGCCCCAGCTTAACTGGGTTCAACGCCCATTTGGGCTACCCCGACCAATCCCATTGACGGGTACTTGCTGACGGTACTGATCAATAGAAAACTAGCTGCGAGACAAGCAAAAGGAAGGACCCGCTTGATGGTGAACGCGTTAGCCCTCCGAAAGGGTAATGGCGCATTCGTTCCCCACCGCAGACATCTGTGGCCTGGAGTTCTGCAAATATCTAAGCATCATTGTGGTTGTATTCAACTTGAAAGTGTTTTTACTAACAGAGATCTTAAGTCGATCAACAACATTTTCATCTTAATATCGCCTTAAAGAATCCTCAAACATCAACCACTTATTACGGGGTAACAAATTACAAATGAGAAGTTCACCACTGGGGCTACTGTATGACATGGAAATCCATTTCTTCAAAGTAAAACTTTTATAAATTTCATCAAACACTTTTACACGTATGGAAGTAGACCTCGATGGACGGGGATGCAAGGATATAATATGTGATGATTAGAACAGAAAGTGTATAGAACTCCTACTCATCACCGTCACAGTCGACTATATTGACATTAAAACTACTACATATAATTTTGTAATCAAGTTGATGGAAAAATCCATGGACTCACAACCAATCATGAAGCAAATCCCAGTTCTCTTCTTAATAGCTAAATAGTGATAAAGGATAAGGTAACACTAGCGAAATTCTCAAACATATTTTTTAACGTCGGATGATAACGGTAGTTTGTATGGAACTCAATAACGATATTCTATCCCAATTACTTCAACTCCCTCATATGAGGGATCTTGAGCCGGCTAGTCGCAAGGCTACGTGGCGCGTCCCCAGGTGGCGGATAGCGGGTTAATCGCGGACCAAAAGCGACCTCTGCTTCCGTGAGACGCAGGTGGATCCAGGGGATGGACTCCTTATTTCTGCTGCGCTGATTTGGCACATACTGTATTTGCTAGGCGTATTCATACATGCGTCTGTGGATGCGTTCTCGCTCATGCAGATTGTATTCTACGAGTCAATTCGGCCAAAAGCCTGCAATCAAGTGACTGTGAAGTATATGGGAGGTGGTAAGGAGTCGCCTCCAACAAATAAGCTCCAAGTGCACTCTGGGAGAATCTGGCAGGCTACCCGTGAGTATACCCAGCCCCACGTTCAAAGCCCAGCAAGCTATACGTGGGTATCAAAAATGCTAAACACAGTAAAAAAAAAACAGACCTTATTCGCCTGACCCCGAAAGAGCCCAAATTTCGCAGTGTTGGGAAGGACGAGTATGGAGAGGCTGCTAAAATCTCAGGGCCAACGTAAGCTACCTGGATTACAGAAAACTAAGATGACGATCTGTACCTACAATGCACGTACACTTGGAACCGAATCCTCCATACAAGACTTGCGCATGCAAGCAAGAAGGATAAGGTACGACGTCATCGGCCTGGTTGAAACGAGGAGACGGCAGCCTTTCAACGCCATCTATGACACCGGAGAAGAACTGTTCCTCGGAACATGCGACAGTAGAGGAGTCGGCGGCGTCGCTGTTCTCGTCAACACGAGTTTGTCCATGAACATCGATTCATTCGAACAACTCACAACCCGAAACGGACGTTTACGATTAAAAAGACGTGGATCAATTCCGGCTTTGACAAACTTCGTCGTTTACGTCCCTACATCAAACTATGACGAAGAAGAAGTAGAAGCGTTCTATATGGACTTAGAGAAGTTCTACAGAGAAGACCACACATTCTTCAAGGTCATCATTGGAAATTTCAAGGCCAAGTTTGGACCAAGAACATCTGAAGAACATCACATTGGGACCCACAGATTAGAATGGAACGAACAGGGTGAGCGGCTATCTGAGTTTATTATGGCGAACAAGACAATCCATTGTAACTCGCAATTCCAGCAGCTCCACCTTCAGCGCCGGACATGGGAGTCTCCCAATGGAGAGTTCCATAACGAAATAGACCACATCATAGTAAATAGAACGTTTTGCCTAACCGACGTCGCCGTTGTCCCAAAATTCTACACGTGATCAGACCACTGCCTCCTTCATGCAGGATTTCATTTCTCACACGGAGAAAAAGCCGCTAAATTCAAAAAACAAAATACCAAAACCACCACAAACTGGGACTTATTCAATTCATTAATGGGGCTGTTGGGAAGATGCCGTTGTCGATAACATCGACGAGGGATATGATCGGCTCATTCAACATCTTCACGTTAGCACTATGAAAACTGAGAGTTCGATAGTCACCAAGAGACGTTTGTCTCCAGAAACGCTCGAGCTGATACGCCAGCGTGGAATCGCATGAGCTGCAGGCAACCGCGAACTAACGTCCGAGCTTGCAAAACAATGCAGACAGGCGATAAAAGAAGATCTTAGAGGGATAAGAGTAGCAGTAATGGCCGAAGCTGTAGAGACTGCGAAAAGCATTCGCAAAGCCCATCGAAGCTTCGCCAATTACAAGACCAAAATGATTGCTCTCCCGCGCCCAGGCGGAACAGTTACAGCGTCTAGAAAGGCAATGGAGAAAATCATTCACGAATACTACTCGGATCTCTTCGATAGCCACGTCCACCTTCCGTCGTATGAAATAAAGGAGGATGGATATGTTGTACCACCGGTTCTCCCTTCCGAAATCCGACACGCCATTTCGTCGGTGAAAAATCGAACAGCACCAGGTCCAGACAGGATAATACCAGAACACCTGAAGAACCTTCCGCCAGTCCTCGTAAACACACTGGCTTGGCTTTTCACACGTTACATTTCCGAATGCAAGGTCCCTAGTCAGTGGAAGACCAGCAAGACCGTGTTTTTGTTCGAGAAGGGTGATCTGCACGATATCGTCAACTATCGCCCAATTTGCTTACTGTCTGTCATCTACAAACTTTTCACTCGAGTCGTCCTAAACAGGAGTGACAGAACATTAGACGAAGGACAACCATGTGAGCAAGCAGGGTTTCGAAGAGGATTTAGTACGATGGACCACATCCACACAGTAACACGGCTCACTGAAATATCGCGAGAGTACAAAAGACCGCTCTGTCTCACTTTCATCGATTTACAGAAGGCCTTTGATTCAGTTGAGATGAAAGCAGTCTGGGAAGCCCTTGAATAGTCCCTACTCAGTACAAAAAGATTCTTACAAATACAAAAAAAAAAATACAAATCAACATGATGAACGACTTAGCTCCAGAGCTGAGCAGAAGGAAACGAGTGGCTTGGGGAGCTTTCAAGAGCATAGAGGATATAGTGAAGAGAACAAAGAACACCCGATTCCGCGCCCACCTTGTCGACTCAACGGTACTTCCTGTCTTAACGCACGCGTCAGAAACCTGGTCGCTGCGTAAGCAGGATGAAAGCTCACTTAGCGTTACCAAACGCGCAGCCGAAAAACGATGCCAAGAGTATCTCGTTTCACACAACTAAGGGATGGGATCCGAACCTCCGACCTGTGTCAACGATCAAAAATCAAAGATGTCGTGCTGTACGCCAAACAGTCGAAGATAAGGTGGGCCGGACACGTAGTGCGTATGAACGACAACCGACGGACAAAGCCATTAGAGACTGGATTCCTCGGGGTGTCAAACGTACTGCAGGAAAACCACCGACCTGATGGTCAGAGGTGTTCACGTAGAGCGTAGAAGAAAGATATAATGCTCGATGAGTCCTTAGAGCGAGCAGAACCCACTGGGCTACTCTTGCACGCGACAGGGAAAAATGGAAGATTTATTGGCGCCCGCTCGAGCCACTCGACGATCAGTGGGACTACAGGTGATACAGGTGATTTTTTAACGTCGGATGATAATGGGACTTTATATCGAACTCAATTATGATATTCTATCCCAATTACTTCAACTGCTTTAAAAAAGAACCGAGAAAAATTCCAAGGTAATTGAAATTTTGCACGTAGAGTAAAAAGCAAGTGAAATACGTCAATTAAAGTATTGCGAATATCCTCACAAGTGATGAATACCTTAGCGATTTCTCCTAGTGACAATACAAGGAAGTTACTGTGTCAGTATTTTGCATCAAATATGTATTTAGAACAAAACTACATGTTAAATGATACCGAAAACTTCAAAGACATAATTGTCAGAGTGGACGCAGATGTAACCACAAAACGCAGCAACAAACATGAGTATAAACGCACCATATTGATGTGCTCTGCGTTCTTAATTATATCGACAGCACTCGAATAGTCAATGCTCTCGAATGACACGCCGTTTGCCGATAGAATACGGTCGTTTACTCTGAAAAAGCAAAAAACTATTGGTGGAGAACAATCCTCCAGTACTATTCATGGTCTTGTCTTGCTAATGAATTACTATTTCACTACAGCTGGTGGATGTTCCTACGTGGCGCGCTGCGATTTACAGAAGCGGTATTCGTCACCAGCAGAGTCGCAGAAAGAGCTCGGCATTTCTTCAAGAAACCTAATTAAAGTATACCTAGACCACAAGTCTCCGCCACGCTTTTTCATCGAGAACACTAAGAACAGGGAATCTCACCAAAAAGTGCGATGCCCTTCATGTTTGTCGAAGAACTCTGGTGTAGGACTGGAACGGATTTAGAACAGGATTGTAGTGCCCACCAAAGTTACCCGATGATTAACGGCACCACAGGTGACACAGGTGATTGATTAATCGTAGTCTTTCCCATGAAGGACGCCGATTAGTGACAAGGTTTACACAGTTATGCGAACCGAGGGTGCATTCTGCATTTTTAACAAGGAAACCTTAAAAGTCTATTTCAGAAACATGAATGTACACATTGCTGGCACAGCCTCATGAAAACATTTGAGTAGTCTTTCGCTAAAAACGTTAAAATAGAGAGATTCATTAGAAAACAGTATGAAGCTCGAGTAAGCAGTCCATCTAGTACTTTTGGCGCGCAGGAATACAAACAGAAACTATTTGCAAATAGTGAAATGAGAAAATTATGATGTATTAAGTCAGAATTCCAACATCTGTGCTTTATTATTGTTTTTACATTCGGAATTGTGTTTCCAGATGCGGTGTGTCACATCATATTTGAACGGTCTGCCATCGTCGCCATAGATTTCGCTTCCGTCCTGCAAGAACTGAGAGCGTTCTTGCACTGCTACCTCGGACATCCGGGGAAAACCATACTCAACCAGCGTTAACACGTCAACTGATGATGTAAGATGACAGACCCTTAAGCCGCATCTAGGGGGCCCACACAGAAACGTGACTACCATGCTTTCTATGGACAACGACTGTAAGAAATGAATCGAATGAAAACGCAGCGACATGCACACCATGTGGTAATTGAGCAGCTATGTGCAACGGTTTCTCTTTTACCTTTTCATACTATTACGCATCTCTATACCCAACACTCCACTTTCGAACGTTGTTCCAAACACTTCGTCAAGTCTTTCTCTTTTCTCTTCCACTCATAGCCATTTATTTTATCTACTGAAGCAATCAGCATTATATTTCTATCAGCTTCAAGTATTTCTTCTTGCTACTTTACAATACAGTCCTGCGTTGACTTCCATAAGAACTAGAACTTTTCACGACGAATTATTTGACAGCTTTGAAGATCTACGCCCTAAAACGTATACTAAAAAAATAAAAATAGTTGCTCTGTAGTTTCCTACTGTATTTATCTACACTACAATATATAGCATTCTGCGACACGAACTGCGGAATACAGTTTTTTGTTTTTCGACCATAAACTAGCTACATTTTCACCCAGAAATAAGAAGGTTAATAGCATTTGAAAGCTGTACATCAACTTACTGAAGCAAGCCCCAGGCCGGTCCGTTTGGCACGACGTCCGATACAACAACTGCGGGGTCACCCGAGGTAAAATGTGGATTGTCACGACCACCGGACACTGCGATGCCGAAGCCTAATGTGACTGCCTGAAACACCATATTTAAGAATGGGGCTAATTTCTACTGGAGTGGTTCTAAAGTCGACATAACTGCTATATAAAAATAAAATTAACTCTGGACTGCTAAAACCACTGACTTAAGATTGCACTAGACATGTATTAAACGCTGTTTACCACAATTTTGAGAAAAAAAGGAAGATTACGATAAAATGCTCGACATGAAGCTTTGAAAACTCTTTATTCCATGTAAAGCATAAACACAAATGAAGTGCAGTTTGAGCGCATTGTAACAGCACTGAAGAATTAATGCCATGAACATAATTTAGTTTTAGAAAGCGGCTCGCGAAACAAATGAGACTAAAGCCTTGATACTTACACCGAACACCGGTGACTAGTTCTGGACAGCGATTCCTAGACCAGGTATGGAACTTCATCAGTAAACAGATTTCACAATGTGGGAATGATAATGTCAATGAAGATGAATTGGTTACCTTCACTATAAATACTTCAAAGTATTCAATTTTACTCCATGATCATCATTTTTCTAGGCAGCAGCGATGATTACGATAGGGTATAAAAGTCAAAAGTTGTTCCGGATGTGGCCAGCATACTATGCGTGTTCCAGAGCGGTCCAGAGGAAGCCAATCCGACTGGCATATCACCAAGTGCCACTACATTTCCTCCAATGTATGGAACGAAATAGTGAAAAAACCGCTGTTGAAATAGGGAAATCCTCACGGAGGACTAACATCAACACATGGGTTGTAGAAAGTTAACGATTAATCACTAAATTTGTTACCATTGGTAATCTAATACACAACTTTCTTCCAACTTATTGGTATATGGTAAGGAGCGCAAAAAATTAGGTGGTTACACTTTTGTAGGTTAAAATCGCTGAAATAAAGGATCACAACAAAATTTACTGTCAAAAGTCGAACAGATTCAGTGATAGCTCGATAAACACATCCGTTCGAGCAGCAAATATCACAACGCACACAACAATTGCTCCACTCCTATGTCAGGGGTCATCAGTCAATAACTATCACTTACGCTCTAACTCCAAATCTATAAACAAATGTGAGCAAACAAATACACTTGGATTGCAGAGACGAACCTACGAGTTCAAAACACACGGACAAATCGGACTGCAATAGTTCAGAACTAAACAGCAAAAAAGATATGAAACAGTGTACACATTACTACAATCCAAAAAAACCCACTTCACTCATTAATAAGCATCTTAATTAAGGAAATGTTACCTCTGTATTTTTGAAATATCACTCAAATAACAACCACAGATGGAGTTAGTGTATTAATAATCTCTAGGTTACGATACACTTAATTTCGCGCAATGACTTAATTTTTTCTTCTGATTGAGTATTTTACGAAATCAGAAGTCTTCGTACGAAGACGGTGATCTGATCGGTGCAAAAGATGCAACAGCACCGGCATCTCATCGGATTTCTCATGTACAACTCCTATCGTAGCGATGATGTTAAATTTTATCGCGATGTGGGATAGGAGACAATTTAGTTGGTAAACAGTTATGGGTAAAGTTTATACTGAATTTCCATTACTAGAACAAGCGCTCTTTATTCATTTTGTGGTACAGATATTCTGTATAATGCATTCTCAATTATGCTATTTAAGCTTCCCTCGGCTTCCTACCGTATAGTTTTTGTTCTGGATCCCACCCAGGGAAAAAGTATTAGAACGCCTTAATAGGAGAATAAAGAATAATGAGAATGAACTTCTAATTATGAAACCCCACTCCGACCCATAAATCTCCCCTTAACCGAAGGGAAAGTCTGAACATTTATGGGGAAGAACAATACACCCTGTGAAAAAGAGATAGTTGCGAAAAGATCTTGCTGAAAACACACATAGAGCAAATGGCCATTAATACGATCTGCGAATGGAAGTATAGTCTTCAGCGAAACAGATATCCGGATATTCTAGAGGAGCACAGAAATGAAAAGCATAAAGAAATGTCTTCGAGGTCTCCACAAGAACCCAATTCCTAAATAGCACTTGAACTAGAAAATATTTTAGCTATCTCCTAAAGGATTACGGCCGCTTACACGCTTTATTTGCAACACAAATAATTAAACACCTCCACACAAGGAATAGATACCCAACAAGTGCAGGATTTTTCCCACTATGTTTTTGCCAAAAAAACAAAACTTATCTGAGAACCAGAACGAAGCTACCAATCTATACTACAAGTCAGGTTTCGCGAACGGTTTAATTGCTTAGACCATGATATAAGTACTCAAATGCGATGAAAAAAGGATATGTGTTGATGGACGATTCTCACTGAACCCTTGTTTTGCCGACGACATTGTCATTTACTCAGACAAAACCGCATAAGCAGATAAAACACCTCATGATGTCATTGAAATAGAGAAAAAACTGGATACTACTCAATCGGGAGCAAATCGCCGATTGGGAAGGGCAGATCCTGCGTATGTATGGGGTGGTGAATGAACATGGATTTCGAGTTGAGAGAAGAACTCAGCATAACAGAACGAGCACCACATACCACATTATGGCGTCTAACTAAGGCTATTAACCAGTCTGATTATTATAACTTATTTCTTATTTATCTGACACAAGTTTTTCCAGCTCTGTACTGTGCTGCAGAAGCACCAGAGAGTATACTTTCACGAGATCGTAAAAATTACGTGGCTTCCCAAAACTTCATCAGTCCTGAAACTTAACCGGAAACTAAACAACTAGCCTTTCTCGTACTTCAGATCTTCGAGACAAAGTAGAAAACGTCAAGAAATAATCACTGCCGGACTAATCACGTAATAAGTAGGAAGGACGATAGAACGAAACGAACATTAGAATGATTTTCTACAGAGCAAAAACGACCATCAGTGAAACCACTAGAAAGATGGACCGAAGTGTTCGTTGCATGCGTAAGCCAGGCGTATTTACACTGGGAATCAACGTCCAGATCCTAAGGCTGCAGACGAATAAAGATATGAACGTGACCACTTCCTTGATAAAATGAGAGGATCAGCCATGCATGAGTCGACCATAGCTTTTACACCACAATGAACCCATAGTTAAATCTTATAACAGGTATCAAAACTATCTATCTCTATCCCTCTCTCCCTCAACATATATCTGTATAAATGCATACGTACATACATACACACACATATACACATTTGTATGTATGTATGTACACGTATATGTACAGTGTTACAGAGTTCATTGTACTATGCAGAATATTTCTAATCCATATCTAAGATGGCATTATACTGCTGTGTTCGCGAGTCACTTCTAATATATAACGAAATAGCACTGTACTATCATGATCACGATGATCATCAATTGATACGCCTCCGAATAGCTCGCGTATGTAGTAATCGATATCCGCCATGGTCACTTCATGACAACTTGTCACATCGATCTCGTAACATTCTGGATCTGCCCATTCCGATATGGACGGCAGAATCCATTAAAAGCAATATTTAAGCAAATGCTACTCAGTTAGGCTCCATTTGTTCTCCAATCTTGCTGCACTTTCACATGGTTTCGATGTATCCCAATTAAACAGTATTTGCGTGATCTGCTATTCGTTTTCCTTACCATCCAATCAGAACGATGACACTGGGCGGAAACGAATCAAAAACTAAAGGAAAGCCTAAAGAGAAACCCGTAGGGATAAACAATAAACGTATTTACTCAAATGAGAAAACTGGTTGATATTCAAACAGGCATAAACACGATTTTCACTCCCTCTTAGGTAAACCATCAAAGCACATTTCGTTATCTGCTGATTTAGTTCCCAAGACCTTTTTCCTAACATTGGGTCACAAAATCTCATTTTGTATTCGCTAACGACTAGTTCGATTTCTGCAGTCAAGGGAAAGCGAAGGCGTTAGCTAGAGAGCGATGGAACGGAACAATCTATCAAATTCTCGATTCGCCTCCTACCACGCTGTCCGAACATCTTGCCTGTCGAGCGCTGTTCTCCAACTCGCACATTATTTATGACCGATGTAGGAACGATTGATGCAAGTACAGCAATGCAAACTAACACCATATACCTTGCGAAAGAGAGAAACAAGAACTACTTATTAATTCTGTTCCGAAGTCGCAATGTATGAGTGAGTTGTTAACAAACTCATCGTGGTTGAGATGCACAGCAAGGAGACCGTCCAATCGGAATGAACAATCAGCCATTTCTATCCAAAATTCCAGCTAGAAGTAAACCAACAGAGACCTAATTATGACAATCTTCCTTTGATTCACACTGATCTGCAAACGGAAATCTCTGGTGTTTGCACGAGTTTCACAGCATTGTAGCAAAAAAATTATGCGAAACCAGCAATATTAAAATATGCGACCCGATCTAGAAGAAGTAAAATGCGTTAAGAGATAAAAATAACACTGCAACAAATGTGTGGCAAAATCATGTACAAACTTATTGAACGAATCAAACGCATCTGCAACACTGAAGGGACCTCTCAAGCGGACGAACACATGAACTTTAAGCGGCAGAAGATTAGAAAACTGCAAGAATTCAGTAAGACACCATATCCAATGACGCATAGGATTTCTGAAGAATCTTGATGGCCGCTCGCGAATGTGCCGGAACGCAAATACACGCTTGTGGTCGGGATTAGAGGACAGAGACGCGCGCCTGTCCAGCTTACTATGCTAGCACCTCTGACGGGGGCGATAGTAATGAGGTCTGGTGGATTGACGATTTAACGAGGTCAGTGCATAAAAAAATCGCATCGGCATTGGACAACCAGGAAATACATTGCTAGTGTTTCGTGTGAACTTACCACTAGTACAGTCATTCGCGAAGTGTTTTTATTCCTATCCCTAATATGTCCTCAGCAGCATTAACTGAGTTAATAGTTGAGTTAATAGTTGCAAGGAAAAATCTTTTTATTAATTTTACAGCAACACGATCAAAACGATTACATCTATCACAGCGTGTTTTTTTGCACATCTTTTTTGTTCTGGTTTTAAACAGTTCTAAATTTGGTTCAGCATTATACAAAAGAATATTTATAAATAAACTCGGGACAGAAGAAGTATCGGTGGAGTCGCAGTTCCAGCAAAGATGAAATCAGCAGTAGTACAACGTGTGGTAAGCCAAGATAAAGAGAGATGAAGAAGAAAAAAAGCACTGACCCGATGTAATGAGACTGAGAGCAGCTGCCAACTGGTGCAACCCACCGACATCTGAAAACGACTATTAGATTATATCCATAATTCACCCACAATACACACAGTTTAACTAAAAACATTATACTTTTATGTTGGAACATAGGCGCTCGCCGATTTCTGCCCTATAGAAATCTCTTTTCACGTTCAAAGCGATTTAGGCAACGTTAGAGTGTTCAGCAACATTCTATAGGACAGATATAAAAAAGGAGAAGTGCAACTGGCAATGAACGTCACCTCGAAACGAAGTGCATGATTAACGAATTCCTGACACAATGCCCTATGAGTAACTGTTAGGCTCTGACCTGCAGACAATCGCTAAGGAGACCAAAGCTTGTTTCAATCCCAAAAGTATCTTGTGTACAAGGTGCAGTGCCACAACTATGACAACTTCAAAAACGACCATACCACATTCTTCGATTCAAAATCACTATCTTTCTGAGACAGAAGGATAATGGAGA